CCCCCCAGTGGCACCCAGCCAGCCCCACGCTGCCTACCTGAATCTGCAGGCTTCGCGCCAGACCCTCCGCTGCTGCCTTTGCCCCAGCTCAGCCGCCCACCCGGCGCAAAGAGCTGGTTGTTGGAGTCGATAGATCCAGGCTGCAGGTGGAGAGACAAGAGTCAGCTCTGAACCCCACACCAAGGCAGGATCCAGGCCCGGCAGCCAGCTCAGCTGCCCACATTGCACCCCCAGCCTCACCTTTGTGATCTTCGTTAGCCGGCTGGTGTCGATGGGCCGGTTGCCCTTGCTGATGGGCACCGTGTTCCAGCCATCGTCTGCGACCAGGCTCCCGCGCCCACCTGGGCACAAGGGGGACAGACATAAGGCACAGCCCGGTCTCAAGCAGTACCCAGCAGGAGCAACCCGCTCAGCTGCCCACATTGCACCCCCAGCCTCACCTTTGTGATCTTCGTTAGCCGGCTGGTGTCGATGGGCCGGTTGCCCTTGCTGATGGGCACCGTGTTCCAGCCATCGTCTGCGACCAGGCTCCCGCGCCCACCTGGGCACAAGGGGGACAGACATAAGGCACAGCCCGGTCTCAAGCAGTACCCAGCAGGAGCAACCCACTCCTGGAAGCCTCAGTCGTCCCGGAGCCTGGGCACTTACTGCTGGAGGATGGCCCGGGGGGTCCTCTCCTCTTGTCCTTTGACATGAGCTGCTGCACTTTGATGTGTTCCCGATGCTCCTCCATCTCTGCTTCCTTGTGGATCTGGTCGATGGTTTTGGGGCCCTGGTCTCCTCGCCGCGGCACCCAGCTATTCTGCAGAAGGCAGGGAAGGAAGGAAGAGGGCACCAAGTTGGAGGACAAAGGCAGACATTCTCCCTTCCCAGCCATACCACCGTGAAAGCCTCAGGCCAGTCTCCTGCCTCAGCCATCACAGCTCCCTGGGTGCTGTGGCAGCTTTTGGCACAAAAGGGCTCAGTTTCTGGAGCCCCCCTGCATTAAACAGCCGCTGGTTACTGTGCGCCCACTACCACTACCATGCTAACCAAGGGCTGGGGGCTAGCATGGTGTCTCTGGGGCTGGCCACAGCTTACATACCTCTCTCCCCTCCCAGGGATGGATGGACTGCTGGCACTCAGAGGACACAGGCCAGCAGCTCCATAGGACTGAGCAGGGGACAGAAGACAGTCCCCAGGCAAGAGCAGGCCACACGTCTTACCCGTCTGAGGTCAATCACATCCTGCAGCATGAAACGGATTCGGGATGATGTCTTCTTCTCTTTGATGATCTTCTCCATCTGATTGAAGTACTGGTCCATCCTGGGCTATAGAGGGACAGAGTCATGGTCACATCCCTCCCAAAGACAAGGGGCAGGGCAAGGCAAGGCAGGGCAAGAGGTACCTTGGCCTTCTCAAAGTCCAAGTCCTTGCCAATGGTGGTAAGCAGGCGGCAAAGGCACTCAAGAGACTCCTCATCATGGTTTTTGAGCAGCTTCACCACGCAGTCATGCATGATGGCTTCTGTCAACATCTTCAGTTTGAAAAGCTCTCCGATGAACTTGATGTTGCCCAGGGATCGCCGGCGGGCCTTGTCCCGCGCCTCCTCCAGCTCGTCCTTCATGCGCGCCTTCTCCTCGGGCTGCAGGGAGGGCACAGCAGAGCCCAGAGCCGCCCCAAGGACGCCCACGCCAGCCCTCAGCTGCAGCCTCCCACCCCAACTCACAGCACTGGCATCGTCCATTTCCTTCTGCCGCTTCTCAAAGATCTCGTCGTCGTCCTTGTCCTTCTCAAACTCCTTCTGGCAGCGGTTGAGCAGCAGCTTGCGGAAGTTCACAGTTACCGTGGGCTTGTCTGTTGTGGGCACTTTGAGCTGCAGGGAGAGGTAGAACCCAGGCAAGGAGCATGAGTCATGTCTCCCCCAAAAGCTGGCCAACTACGGCCCAGGCAGTGCTCAAACCAGGGAAGAGCCACCCTACACCCTCATGATGCCCTGCTAAAACTCTGGACTTGGTCCTCTATCCACATACCCCAGTTTCCCCACCCCACATGGGCAGACCTGCACCCTGATGAGCTCAGCCAAGGCCCCAAACAAACTCCTGCCAGCTTGGCAGGAGACCCCCAGCTCCTGCTCACCCCCATAAGGCAACGGCACATGTTAGCATAGGCAACAGAGAAGTTTGGCTCCGAGATGGCCTTCTCGAAGACTAGGTCGATGACACCCTTGAGCCGCTCCTCCGTGTCGATAGACAACTCCATCACCTGCTTCATCAGTTGCTGGAACATCTGGGGTGTCAGCTTGTTGAGGATGCTGCGGACACGGCGGAGCAGTTCCTGCGAGGACAGCAGGGTCAGTGAGACCAGGCACGTCCCCCGCTGCCCTCCCACCGCTCACCTGCCCCAGCTCCCACCTGTGTCTTGATGTTCTCTGGATCCTCCTCCTCAGAGGCACGCTTGCTGCTGGGTTTCCAGGCCTTCTCAGCCTTGTTCAGCTTGACATCCTCGTTGAGGGACACAGTGGCAATGATCTTCCGAGGCTCCTTCCTCTGGCTCTGCTGGGAGCGGCGGGGACCCAACCCTGAGGGCTGACACAAGGAGAAGAAACTCAGCTCTTTGCTCTGTGACCAGCTGTGCCAGCTCTCAGGGTGTCCCCATCCACCTGCTCAGATCCTCAGCTCCATCATGGACATCAGTGGCCCAGACACAGCGGCTCAAAGGCTTGATCATCATGGAGAGGCAGCGGGGGACAGCATGGGTAAAGCGAGGAGATACTCACCAGGCCCCGGTTGCCCATGACGGGCCGGCCAAGGTTGGCAAAGGAGGGGGTGAAGTCGGGGCTGCAGTTCATGCCACTGAGGCGGATGGGGTCGAGCGCCCGCAGTGGGGTCTTGTTGGCCTGCAAAGGTACACAGGGCTGAGGATGCCCAGGGGGCAGAGGAGCGGGATGGATCCATCCCCCAGCCTCAGCACTGGGACAAGGAACTGGAAAGAAGGCCCCAGAAGTGCCCACACACACCAACCCCAGGCTCAAGGCTCATTGCAGATGCTGCAACAGGACCCCGAGCACAGCAGGCAAATCCCTGCCTTGCCCACAAACGGGAGCCAGATCACCATCTGGGCTCCCCCACTTTCCAGGGTCGCACCGACCTTGTCCAGCACCACATCTGTGATCTGGGGCAGCCCCTCAGGTTTCTGCATGCTGGCGAAGATGAACTGGAAGCCCAGCAGGAACTCCCGGTCATATCGCTTCTTCTCCTCAGGGTTCAGTGGCTTCCATTGCTCTGCAGTAAGGGGCAAAAGGGAGACCCTGATGTGGCCTGTCCCATACCCTCCACCCCAAGCTGTGGCAGGTCTGAGCCCACCCACGGACCAGCAAGGTAGGATGCAGACAACCACAGAGCTGCCCCAGCCTGGTATGCCATGAGCACAACGCTGCTTGGACAGAAAGCCTGATGCCACCAGCTCGCTGCCTCCTGCCAGGGTGCTTGTGCCAGGGCCTCCGTCCCCCACCCCATGTCAGGCTTGGGGACAAGATGTGAGGACAGCATGAGGTTTAGGACAGCTGGACCATGCCACCCCTACCCTCCCCACCGCTGGGTCCAGAAGTGGTGGCTCCCAGCAGAGGCCTGGGCCAAAGCACTGCTCACCTTCCTTGTAGCGGTACTTCTGGTCAGCAGCCTTGCCCTTCTCTGGGGCCAGCTTGTCCTCCTTCTCCTCCCACGTCTCCTCCGACTCTTCTTGCGGACGGGCAGGGGCCACATCCTCTGCTTCACGGGCAGGGGCGGACACGGGGGGCTTGTTCTCCACCTCCGAGGCACTGTCGCTGATCTGAGACTGCATCGGGAAGGACGGGGACAGCAGTCATCCCACGAGCCAGCTCCTGCCCCCTCCACCCCGCACCCAGGCGCCAACCCCCACCTCAGATCCTCATTACCCTCACGGAGCATCAGTGGCCCAGACACAACGGCACAAAGCAGAGTTCATCACAGGAGGAGACGGGACACAGGTGACCCCCGGACCACCGTGGGACACTCACCTCTTTAAAGGCATCCAGCAAATCGCCTACTGCCTCCTTCTTGTTCAGCTCCTTCATCCTTCGCTTCTTCTTTGGCACCGACACGGCGACTGGGAGGAGAGGCAGGGAGGTGAAGGACAGGAACCCTCCCAGATCCCTGTGTACCCTGACACCAGCTCTGAGGTCAGCAGCGAGGCTCCAGTAACCCCAGGCCAGCTTCAGGATGGAGCCACAGGGACATAGCCCCCATCCTCAAACATACCATGTACCCACCTGGATATCTGCAGCCCTGCAGATCCTACATCCAGCCCACCAAGGCACCCCGCTCCCCAAGAGTGCACCCCAGAATACTCCCTGTACAGACGCACCTCACATCTCTCTCCATCCGGACGCTGCACCCCGATTTACCCTGTGCCTCTCTGAAGCGCCCCCCATCCATACCTCTTCCCTAGTGCAGTGCTCCCCATCCTCCTCAGGGGATCCCTGCAGACACCCACACCCCTCTGCAGGGCAGCCCTTATGGGGACACCCCCATACACACCTCTAACCCACATAAGCTCCCCTCCCTGGCACCTCTATACACCCCACACAGAGATGCAGCCCAGAAACACATCTGCCCCCAGGCCACCCTCCTATAGCCCCCCTGTACCCCTGCACAGGGTGCCCCATATGAACACATCCTGGGTACCCATCTCCCCCACCACCCCCATGTCATCCTCCGCCCTCCAGTCCAGAGTGCTTAAAAAAAAAGACATATCTTTGCCCTGGCACACCTCCAACGCACCCCCCTTTTCCCCAGGCACCCCTATGTACCTGTGCGCCTCTACACAAGGCACCCCACACAGCTACAGCCCCGCAGCTCCCCTGCCACCCCTCCACCCGCTGCACCTCCCTGTGCCCCAGACGGCTGGGGACAGCCCTCAGATACAGCCCCAACGCACCCGCCCTACGTCATGCATCGCATAAACCTCACTTCCCTCATGGCACCCTGTGACCCAGGGCACCCCACACAATCACCCCTCTACACTCACTCCATACTCCTACAGACGGATGCACTCCCCAGACATCTACCCCACTCCACCATCCACAGGCACCTTGTCCACCCCCAGCACCCCATACCCAGGTGTCCCAGGTCACCTAACCCTGTCCCCCTCTCCGATATCCTCCCTGTACCCCACGCCTAGCATCGTGCCCAGACAACCCTCTCACACCACCCAGTACCCCCCCTGGAGCAGCCCGCAGCCCCGCGCACCCCAGCCCAGTATCCCCAACCTTGTGCGGTCGCCTCCGAGGTCTGCGAAGGGGCAGGGACTGGGCTCGAGCTCCGCTCCTGGGCCTCACCAGGGCCTTCGCTCTCTTCCTCCTCCTCCTCCGCTGGTGGGGAGGCAGGGGTGCCAGGCTGGGCTGGCTCCTCAGGCTCCGAGATAGGGCTGACGTCCGACTCGGGCTGCTCCTCGCTCAGCTCCGCTTTGATGGTGCCCTCCACCCCGTTGGGCAGGGGCAGCTCTTCGGGCTGGGCGATGGGGGAGTCCAG